AGAGGAGGATGTTGGGGATGGGGCTGGAGCAGGAGCAGGAGCTGGGGGGAGGCCTGGACTATTCCCCACTAAACTGCAGTACAGCTCCTCCTGGCTGCCTACACAGCTGGGAGACAACGCAACACATTTCCCCTGGCTGCCTCCTCCACTGTTGGTCCGACGATACGACGTGGTCTTCTCTGAACTGGACAGCGAAGCAGGAGTAACATGAAATTACACTAATCAAACAAGATCGCTGTGGAGTCACTTTCAAAACTGAGGTGAGCTTGATAATCATTTCCATCTGTGTTGCATTAAAGTGACCCCAAAGGCTAGTTTAGGACATAGTGATATTTAAAGTTTAAGTTTCTACTTGACTCACATCCTTTCAGTGACCCTTTTCACACAAGACACATGTTTGCTAAAGTGTGTCAACAGATATGTGTAAACATGTTATAACCGGTCTGTCTTACCTGACAGGTCCCATGTGATTCTGAGAGGATGCTGGCATGGCACTGCTTTGAGAACCGGAACTAGCACCAGGTCCCTCCCAGGTCTGCCTCTGTCCCTTGAGCAGACCTCCCTGTCTGTGAGGAGACTTGGTGCGTCTCCTACCTTGTACTTGGTTCTCTGTGCTGGGTGAAGGAGGGCTGTGTCGTGCCTGTGTCTGGGAACTAGAGGAGTGTGAAGCCGGATTAGAACAGCGTCTTGGAATAGGGGTTCCTTCCTGTTTTGTGACTGAAATCTGGGGGTCTGAGCGACCTGCAGAGGGGGAAACAAATGAAAAAGATAAAGAGCACCATTGCACATCTTACTGATAAAACCAGCATTAATTGAATTAAATTCATTCATAAAGCAGTGTGGTATGTTAAGTTCTAAAGTGAAAATTAAATTCTTATTTGCACGGGCTCAGGCGGGGTTTTAACCACCTGAGCAAATAAAAATTGCCCCATGCATCAAATGTGATAACAAAAAAATATGGCACATTTATTCCTATATGCCTGGACTGTCTATGCTTAAATGGCAAATAAAAATTTTGAATCTAGAATTTTCTTTTGGATTTTGTTAAAAGGTTTAATAAACATCTCAGTTCCAAAAAATTTGAATGTTCTGACTATTTATGTGTCAGGCTTTACAGGGTTAGCGTGCCTATTTAAATATGAGACCAGTAGTATGACTGGGTAGAAGGGTAATGAATTCATCCCTACACCCTCTTTGGAGTAAAGCAAGCTGTGCCTTTTATGTTTAAGATTTATAATGATGATTTCTTAGTTCTATGTTAACTATCTTATTTTTGATAAAGTTTTCAGAGGTGACTGAGGAGTAGTTAGGGTATAAACCTTGTATAGTAACTCACCTCTTTGGATGGATTTAGCTGGCAGTGGGGGTGGTGGTCCTGATGCTCCAGAAGGTGAGCTGTTGGCAGGAGGATTTCTGTATAGGAAATCTAGATTCTCATAAGGCTGACAAGGCCGGCTGCCTGTACTAGCATTGGCGCCATTAGCTGAACTCCAGCGAGCCAGAGCAGTACCGCTGCCTCCACTGGAGGACGGCGGAGGACAGTTTTTGGATAACGGGCTCACCTGGAAGAAAGCAGAAGGTTTCAAAATCAAGAGTTGCTTTACCTTTTTTTTTATCTTTTCCACACTAGTAGAGGAGTCTACAGTGGAAAACCCCTAAGATTTACAATCTTTGTAAAAGCTTTTTTGGTCAACAGACAAAACCGGTAAAGAAACTAGCCAGGTGAGTGTATTGTGGTGTTTACCTTCTCATCCAGGTCATCCTCACTGTCATAGAGCTCCTGAGACGGAGTCTCCCACATGAACTCCACATGAATCTGAGAGTTAAACTTCCCATTCTGGGCCAACTCCAACTAAAACACAGGAGCACAATCACTCAATGCTCATGCTTTTATCCAGTAAAACCCACAAAAGCTGGGATCAACGATGATGCAGTAACTGTATACTTGGCTCTGTCAAGCCAATTGTATTTCAGCTTTTGTTGGTTTAGTTTCTGCTTTTTGGCTGCTCTTGGCTCGCAGCCTTTGGTTTTGAAGTGCAGGTAAGTACAAGTATTTTAATGTTTAAGTCAAAGGTTCCATGAAAAAAGGAAATACTGGACCCTAAGGAAAAAGGAGTATAAATGACAACATAAGCCAGCTTATAATTAATACAATCAGTAAAAGCGAATAGTGAATTTTAGGGCAATGTTCTGTGCTAGCTGCTACACACTAAGAGTGCAATACATGGTTATGCACAAACAGGATATTATACCAGGAGGCAGATGGCTGGTAAGAAAATAAAATCAGTTTACAAATGATCCACACTGGGACCTGATGAGGAGAAGATTCTTTGTCCTGGGAGTGAGTCCTTAGTTGAGCTTTGCTGCACAGGGAGTTATTTTAAGGTAGTATTTCCAGTTGTGGAAACTGTTTTGTTTTGATTCTGGATTGGCTTTCTGGTAGGTATTTTTATGTTGCAACTTGATTCCTTGGTTAAACTTATGTCTTTAGTGTGTGTGTTCTTTGAACGTGAATTAAAAGAGTCCAAATGAAAGATGGAACGTGGGGTCTCACCAGCTCGACACATTGTGTATGCTGCAGCCTCCGTGCAGCATCTAGGGCCGTCTCTCCTGCCAAGTTCACTACAAAAGATGTATAAAATAAATATTTTAAGAGCTGATTGCACTGTGTGAGAGATAAATACAGTAAACAGAGTTAACACTACCTGTTTGTAGAGCTGCCTTCGCTTTTAGCAGTAACTTGAGAGACTCAGGTTTGTGATGTAGAATGCTGTAGTGAAGGGCTGTGTTTCCTTCTGATGTTCTCTTCTCCAGACAGTTGCTGTAGAGTGACCATACAGAATAGACAGATGGTGTTTAACAATACCAGTTAAGTCTAACACAACTGGCCAAAAGATTAAACCTCTTCACACAAGAGAGATACAAACTGCACTTGATTACTTGTCTGACCTGTTCTGGCAGAGGAAATCCACCAGCGACAGAGAGCTTCTTTCCTCCAGACGTACAGCAAGGTGCAGAGCTGTCTCTTTAATCCCCTTAAATGGGAAGAAAAGAATACAAATTTCAGATTTCCCATTTGCACAGAATATTTTTGCCAAGACCACAGAGTCATTGGCCTTAAGTGGCTGCATTTTGTACCTGAAAATCAGGTCTAAAGGCAAGTGACAAGAATGCTGCTGAGGTTAATGTCAGAGGTTGATTGTGCAACAAATCATTTTGTGTTTGTGTGTTAAAAAGTAAAAAAAAAAAAAAAAAAAAAAAAAAATCCTACAGCTTTAAGCAAAAGGAGGAGCAGAAGGAAGAAAAAGCATTGTATGTGTAATTGGATGAGCTTGGTCTCAGGAGATATTAGCTTTGACCTAAAAGCTGTAACAATAAATGAGGGTCAACTAGCACAAACACACACACACACATACTCCTATTTAAGTCATCCATATTTACACACACTGCTAATGTTGAGCAGGAAGCATGTAACAGGAAGGTGGAACATGATTAAAGAAAAGATGACGAAGCATTGGAAAGAGAGAGCAGAGGTGGAGGAAATGAGACGAGAGAATAAGGAGAGATGAGGGAAAGACTGAATTAGAGGGCAAATGAGAATGGAGGGCCTCTGGCTACACACCCACATGAAACATGCACACAGGAAGACAATTAACACATGCTTGTCATAGTCTAACTATCCACACGCCTCCCACATACTGTATGTCATCATATTTTCTTAACATCAAGATGAGTGTCATGTTAACTGTTTTATCCACAGTTCCAAATTGGCAGAAAAAGCCAGGTGGGCGACTTTGTCATGGTGCAGCTGTCATTCAAACTAAATGCATGACATCTACGGGAATGTTAGAGCTTCAGTTTGTCACAATTTTTATTTTTTTAATCATCCATTCACACCCTAACAGGACACATTTCTGGAAGAAATTGCTGGTGTGGAAATTCATTTGTGGGTGTAAATTATATTCACCTGTCCATCAGGCAGAATGAGTGGTTTGGCCAAGTCTGCTCCCTCAGCGTAGAGCTGCAGAAGAGAAGTGAGGTCACGGCTCTTCACAGCATCGTAGAGTCGGCTGGGATCTGCATCTTCTCTACGGAGGACATACCGACGCTCTGCGTACTTCGCCACGATGTACTCCTTTCTGGCATTGCTGGTTTTAAAGGAAGCAGTTAATGAAAAATAAAGCACAATACAAACATAAAAATGGTTTCTGAACATTGAGATTTTTGATTCAAATGATATCAGGGACTCACATATCACTTTGTGGCAGTGGTTTGACAGAGTCATTTGGAAGGCCTGCCTCCATGATATCATTGAATCTGATGTTGCCGATACTGACAGCCAACTGGAGAGACGCAATGCAGACATAAAGGCACATCAGTGAAATTTAGACAGGTACATGTCTGAAACTAAGACATCCTGACAACAGAATATCCACCAGCATTGTGTCTGTGGGGTACTGTGTGATTCCATGTGTGCATTTTGTACCAAGAGCTCAGAGGTGCTCAGCAGGTCCAGAGTGAGAGACTGGATCCTAGAGTAGTGGACACCCAGCTCTCTGTGGATGCCAGAGCACTCTATACAGGTCAGAATGCCCAGATTCATCGACAGCCATGTTGGATCTGAGATACACAGAGCAAAAAAAGCAAACAGACTGGGATTGTTAGGGAAACACGATCTTCACTCAAAAGTAAATAAAAAGTTTGAATTGATATTTGCAGTTATTAATCAGGTCATGTCCAGGATATATTCCAACATTTAATTCCACATTTATCAACAACAGCAATGACTGGCCAACCTGGAGCCCCACAGTCAGCACAAGCCTCGTTGCCAGGCATATGTCGAAGCTCTGCAATGACAGCTCGAGAAAGTTCCTGAAGCCCGCTGTCCTGCAGGTGGAGCTGGTCTCCTCCCAGCGCTGTGTTCAAGGCCTCCTCCTTACTGTTCTGCAGTACTGACACCCAGCTAACACACAGACACACATATATAAAGTGTTCACAAGGTCTGTCGCATCACAGGTAACACCAAGTGAAACCAAAGGAATGATCAGTTCGGTCTTTTCCTCAGAAGACTAAAACTAGTCCAACATGTGCTTTGCAGGTGTTTCTGCTTTGCTGTCTACTGATAAGTCATCATTAATCTAACTTTCTCAGTTTCATGAATTATCTACCGCCCAGATTCATATTGAGCTTTGTGTCTTTCAGTTCTGAAGCTTCAGTACTTTCCTGTACTAACCATTTCTCTTTCTCTTTGCACATTACATCAAAGAGTCTGACTGGAGGGCCACACACATGGGAAGTGCAGGGACAAAAACCCTGCATGTACCTCTGTCTAACACCACATCACAACACACAATGTTCTCTTGCTTGCTGGATAGAAAGAAATGTCCCACCCAGCACCAGCTGGGCCACAGAGTGTCCACAACACAGCTTTTTCTGTCTGCATCCTTTAGTTTCCCTTCCTTTTAGTCTGTTGGCAGCCCTGATTGTCCATCACTGCATACAGGACCAGTTGTATACTCCTCCATTTTACTAAACAAACCTTGTCTTTCTATTCTTCCATTTTAATACACATCTCTTCTTTGACAGGGCAATCACTGTGCAGCTTCTTTCACATGCAGACCTAAGCTCAAATAAGTGCATAGCATGTAACAACTTGCTTACAGAATGAAAAAAAATACATGAGATAAGGAAGTGAATAAAGCCAATGTGCAGTCTACAGTAGTTTCAGTGCTTACATCATACATTCCTGATCATCTTCTGCCTGGAAATGGTATGTCCGATTATCTATGGAGAAGGACAAATTGATAGATACTCTCAGTGGATCTTAAAAATTAATTACCCTACAGAAGATGGAGTGAAGAATTTTTAAAGCCAAAGCAGGAGAGTAGAAATAAAGGTTGCATGACTACAATTGGCATAAAACAAGCATAATAAACATCCTGTTTTTTGTCACAAAGCTTCAGATAAATTATAAGGAATCTCTGGCATTCATCAAGTACATGTGTTATGATCTCAATTTATATTACATGTGGGGACCAAATAAACAACACAGCTGCATTGCAGATGACTGTTTAGATTCTTTAGAGATGAAATGTTAAGGGTAAAGTGTAAGGGTCAAGGCTTAGGAATGAACCTACGAGTGACCAGGTCGAAGGTCCTCCTGTCCTCTGGGTTTGGTCGCACCTGACAGGTCAGTAGGTTCAACTTGGCTGGTGGTCGGTTGATCTGAAGACAGATGCAAACACTTGTGTCAGTATGTATTTGAAAAACTGAACAGAATTCAATTAACAGATGCTTGCAGACAGTTTAGCCTGTGTCCTCACCGTACTGTGGGAAATGGTCAGGCAGCCAAATTTGACTCCACACTTCCTCTTTTGCCACACCTTCCTGATCCTACAGGATAAAATACCACCAAAAATACACAACATAAGAAAGAAAATACAATCAGAATTCGTACAGATCACACTATGAATACATCACTGATCAACCTGGATCCATCCTGTGCAGTTAATGAACATGCACCCCTGGTTTGTGTAACAAGGAGCGACACACTGTGCTGGCCCAGCTTACTTCCATTCACAGTGCTTCTGTCTTGTTTTCATTATCTTGACTGAATCAGGAAAAACGGCTGAGGACATGTTCTGCTTTGTGCCAGTGGCCTGAGGAAAGTTTACTTTCTTCAAGTCTCCCATTCGCCCTACTGAACCACATCCTCTTTCCTTTTCACACAGCCGTCTGTGTGTGTACATGTGCATGACACAAAAGCTGGATCCGCTCTGTCAGCCAGCCTGCCAATAAGTTCCACAGAAGGGGCCCCTGCTTGAATCTTCATCTCACAATAATGAGGACCAGCTGGGGTAGACCAAGTTTAAGTTCCCCCCTTTGCCTCTCCATGCCTTAGTTGCTTACTCCTTATCCAGCTGTGATCACTGCTACCCTTGTCATCATTAGAGAGTAATATCTAAAATGTTCTTTGTTAAAACATGAACAGACAATTTTGTGTAAACTCTCAACTTCTTTAGTAACAAAAATGCTTTACCTATTGAACTAGGACATATTGCTGCTTATTAATAAGGTTTATATCACAATATTCATGTCTAAAAGTCTTGGAACCTGACATCTGGACACTGTAACTAATGCTTTTACGCACCCGTCGCTCTTCTTGAGCAAGAAGCCAGATTTCTCTGTCCCATACTTCTTGTTGCCCTGTGGCTGGTGGATACTATACCCATTGCCAGAGTTCTTCCTGTTCAGGTACTCCTGGGATACAAACAGGGTTTGAGGACTATTTCAAAGGTTTCATGCCAGCTCATGAAAACTTAAAACAATATAAAACAATTGTTGCAAAAGAAATTAATCCACTCGGCTAGCAATTAAACCCAGGTGCTGCTCGACCTTCTAGAGCATATATTTAGTTTGTACACTGATACGGTGTGACTGAAGATCTACAGGTATTTTGACTGATGTAATGGATATAATAATGGTGTATTATGAATACAAATACCTCTTTCCCCTCCACTTGAAGAAACGATCTAAGAGAATCCCTCAACTGGCTCAGTTGTTTCACCTCCTCATCCTGGTCCAGACGCACCTAAGATACACACACCCACCAGTTAGAAGAGGAGCGTTTTTTTTTTTTTTGCTCTCCCGTGTTCATTATTTCATACGCAATGTTTTGATTTGCTCCAGCATTTGGGCGTGGAGTGCAGTTTAATCCTGGGGTGTGTAGTCCTAGGAGACTGCACTCTTTGTATTAAAGCAGAAGGATGACCAGTCTTGCATGCAACAAAACTCAGTTTAACTGAAATATTTTTGCATTTTTCCTTGGGACCATAACATAGATTCTGTCTAACTTCCTCCTTGAGGCTGAGGGCAGACACGTCTGAACGGGTCTGCGTTAAGCCCATGAGGAACCAGAAAAACCTCTAACGTTCCAACTGTAGCAATTAACAGTCTGTTTCCAGTGCTTCATCCAGAAAAAGGGAAGAATGTGAAGCTTGTGAATTCGCCCTTGTGCATTCATCAGATTGGTTGGGGGGAAAAAAAGTAAGAAAATCAGGGATGCTTTTAGTTTCATATTTTGGAAAGAGGGAAAGCATGAAAACACCATGTGATTTACAGTCAGAGTTTTAAGTGTCTCCTTGGACATAGTTTTACCTATTGCTGTGACTGAGCAACAGATGACAAATGGAGAAAAGTGAGTGTGTGTGTGGGTGGACTTGGGTGTATGATAACAATTTATGTGCATGTGAGTGCATTTTGTGGTAACATCAGTTTCAATCATTCAGGACAACAGCAGCTAGCACAGAACTTAAAGTCAGACCTACTGATCATGAGAAATGTTTTTTATGAAAAAAATTGTATATCTAACATTTACCCCTGTAAACACTGACATACAGTATATAATACAGGCAGACAGATAAATCAGCTACAGTTTCTGTGATTACCGTGTGCACAGAGGCAGCAAGCTTTTCAACAAAAGGAGCAAGATTCTCTGCAGCTTTCAGCCCATCCTGAAAGAAACTGAGACCAGAAGAAGAACAAAAGCTGAATCACGCTGGTGCTTCAGTTCAAATATCCTACTGTAGCTTGCACCAATCAAACATCACACACTGAAGCTGTATAAACAACCCACATAAAACCCTCAGTGTGATTAAAAGGAGTAAATGGTTAACAACGGTAATAACAGCATGTAAAAGGAAGTGGAAAGACAAAAAGCTATTATACAAAAACCCAAGGTATAAATCCATCTGCTTGTATGCCAACACGTTTTTTTGTTCTTATTTCACACCTAGTACAAAATGATTATGAGACAAAATAAATAGAAACAGTGATTTTGGCTGAGACTGACCTGAGCTGGACCTGGAAATATTTGATGAGGCTCTGGAGAAGGTCAGGGCCCTGACGCACCTTCAGCTCCTGGATCTTCAAAAGGTACTGAAAGAATAAACACAGAAAGTTTTTTTTGTTTTTTTTTTTTAAGGTACAGAAATATCAGCTCTCCATACAAAAGCTAAATGGGTCAACAAAACATGAAGTGTGAATATAAAAATGAGGCATGACGATAGTGTAAAGTAAATAATTTAAAGACTCATCCTAGACTCAACATATTTAATATCCTGTTTGGAGTATGTTTATTAATGTGTAGCTGTTTGCCGTCTAGGACACTGCTTCGTAGCGTTTCAAAGGTCAAAGGTGTCTTAACACAACAGTCCAGCCAGTCAGTCAACCCTGTAGACAGAAACTGGAAAAGGTCTAGGAAAACCTTAAAAAATATGAAAAACAATTACACATAGTGAAGGCTTTCTTGTGAATAATTTCCATCCTGCCCAGTAGAAAAAACCTTTGTGGGTAAGCTAGAGGGGTTTCTGCCCTGTGTGGAACAAATAACTACATGGTCTTTGCTCTATAAAACCAAAGCCGGAGTCCAAATGTCTCTCCATCGTTGAGTTGGAGAAAGGCTTAAATGTAGTAAAGTGTTTCTGTTCTGTGTATATTTAAATAAGTTTGTGTGTTTGTATGTATGCAGGGGAAAAGAAGTCAAGAAGGGGTGGAGTGGCTTGCAACAAGTGGATATTCTGTTTTCACTGCCCCTCTTCTTTGTCTCAACAGCAGGTCAGGATTAGGCTATTTTCTTCTCAGGGTTTTCTCCAGCTACATGTGCAATAGCAACTGAGGCTACACCGCCTGTACTGTATGTAACAGCACTGCCAGTGAATTTCACAAGAACTTCATCCAAATCTTTCTTTCAGATGTGGGTGATGAAGCGGTTTTCTGCCTTTGAACTACAATTTCTGATGTATGTAGCCTAGATCAACTGCAGCTGTGCAATATTCAACCAAACACATCCATGTTTTACTTTCTAAAGCATATTTTCTCCACCACAAGAATTAGTGGAGAGGCACAAAAGGGATCAACCCGGGCCATCCAATCTGCCATGGATGGAATACGGCATCTGTAAGGCAGACCACCCATGTGAACTAAAATCGAGCCTGCCTAAGGTATGTGAAAGGTAGCTGGGTCTAGTATTTTGACTGGCACTAATCCCCCACCTCGCACATTTGCAGCTGAAAAGTCCTCCTCTCCCTCTCCATGTCCTCCCCTCCATCTGATACGTCCGTCCTGATCAGCCCCAGCTGCCTGGTCTTCTCCTTCCTCTCCTTCTCTAGCTTCCCTCTGATGGGGGGAGGAAAGTAAAAAGAAAATAAAGCAAGAGAGAAATTATGATGTCACAATTATTTAGCCATCTGCATGGTTAATGATCACAGAAAGAGTGAAGTACTTGAGGATTTTAAGTGAGCTGCTTCTTTTCTGCTTCAGACTGAGGGACTAATACATTTACCTTTCTCATAGATGTGGATGAAAGGCAATAAAGAAGAGGTGGAATCTCCTTACACACTAAAAACACCGCCATTAAAATGAGATCAAATGATAGCTGCAAAGTGCAAGTGGCTCAGTTTTATTTCACAGTAATGTAATGGAGAATGTAACAGAGAACGGCCATGAGGTATTAACTACTGCATTTTCCTATTAACATCTGCAGTTACATCAACTTCCAAGACTCTGGAAGAGATTAGCAAGAAGCAGAAATGTGTGATACAACTGTACTGAGGCAATTACATCCATCTACGGATTTGGTTTCTTTTTAGCCAGGAAAGCAACAAAGCCTAAAGATTTTTTTAAAATTGGACTGTAATCACATACTATACAGCCATATGAATGTGAGGTAACGAACTATGTGGGAGAGAATGGTTCATTTACATTTTTATGTCATATTCCTTCCAGCTCTTCTCCATCTGTTTCTTGAGTTCCTGCAGATGAAAAAGAGCAAAAAGAAGAGTAAATGTTTTAATGTACAGTATATGACCATCTAGTCAGACACTGGTGTTTACATAATCAATAAAATACCTTCCCCAGTGTTTAATAGTACACTCAGGTGACACAATATTTTACATTTTACAGTTGATGCACAGAGACAGGATTACTCACATTATAATAATTAGTCTACTGTCTGTGCGAACAGGATTTCACTTTGCCTTCCTTCACAGTTAACAATGAAGCAATGTTCATCTGTGTCAAAGACAGTGTCAAGAGCTTATAGAAGCATTAGCCTGGTTTATTACTCACTAGTCTGCTGGCAGGGAAAATCCAAAAGCCACATACAGGGCAAGACAGATCAGTTGAAACATACTCATTAATCTACATTTACAGCCTCTTATCCAATATCTTAGCAGGCTGAGCCGCGTCTACAGCAGACAGAGAACATGAGCAAGGAGATCCACCCAAACCTGTTTTACAATCAATCATTCATTTTGGGCATTAAAGTTAACATCTACAGATATTTGTCTTTCTGAGCTCCAAATCAAAATCTTAATTTACAGTGTGCACAGAACAAATACTGTCTACAATTGTTTTTATTTGAATGTAGTGCTTTATGAGGGCATACCAGTAACTTCAGCTGCCCTAAAAGCTCTTCCGTTATTTATTATAGACTTGGCAATAACTTGACATAATATCATAGTGTGATAAAAGATAAGATATGGTTATTCTGTCACAGTTTTCTTATTATCCTATACACTACATAACACACAGCTGACACAATCTGCTGAAATCATTGAGCTGTAGCTGAGCAAAAATAACAAGAACCACTAGATTCATATTTGAATTGTTTCTCAAAGTACATGTATCTGTAATAATATAGCAATGGCAATGCACTCTGCCAAAAATATCTTTTCACTTGGTATCATTGACCAGGTAGAGGATTTCTCTTTATATGGAAACAAAACTACAAGCTGTCTCTGCTGTTCAAAATCATAAATTCAAAGTGAACTGTACAATCTTATACAACTGGGCTATATTACAGAATAACTTGTGAAATATACTTTATGGATTTAACATTACGGGCTCTCTGTCCTAAAGCAAGACATGACAGGACAACATAATGTGTCTAACAGTTAAGCTGGGAGAAAGTATTAGCCTTCAATAAATCTGTACTAAAGCTAGACTCACTAGTCTGCTGTCCCGGAGCTCTGACTTCAGCACATTTTCCAAAGGAAACGCCATGATGTTGTTGAGGTTTTGCACCTGGAATATGTAAAAGCAGAGGAAATGAGTAAAGAAAGTTTCAATATCATAGACCCTTATCTGCTGCAATATGACCAAACATAAACACAACTGAACACATTTTTAATGTAGCTCCCTGTGGACTTAACTTTTCTGGGAATGAGTGTGCACAACCCTAAAACAGTGATTCAGGCATCTTGAGCTGGTGATTCATCAAAAGAATCACTGGACAATAATGTGTACCATTACGGTTTTTGGATCCAAAGGAGAGCATGATGTAATGGCTTTAATCAAGTGTTTGCGCAGAGGAAAGTAGAGATTCAATTTGAGGTTTGGATGAAGAGAAGATCTGTGGATCTGGGGAGAATGACTCACTAACCAGCATAACTCCAACAGGTTGTGTTTTACCGTAACACATAATTACCACTAATTCCTCCATTGAAGTACATTACACCTTCATTTGTATGCAGTATGGCTTTGTCATTCATCTTCATGTCCACATGCCTCCAGCTTGACCCCTGTTCACATTTACAAAGTCTGTTTATAAATGTCAGTACAGCCTTTGCACAGATCCTTGTGCATTACAACTAAGCTGCACCCTGCTCTTAACATAAACAATGTCCAACCACTTCTGTGAGCAGACTGCTGAGCTGGCCTTGATATACTGACACAGGGGCCTGGAGACTAGTGGAACTGTTTTGCTTGGCATCCAATAGCTAATAGAAAATACAGTTGTGACACAAGGAAATACCAACTCCCAGTGTCAATATATGCATCAACACATGTAGAGACGCGATGGATCAATGCATACATGCCTGTATACACACACAGCCAGTGGGACAAACATGCAATCACTCACACATGGGGCACGTTCACAGAGACTTTGCAGCGCTGCTTCTTAAATTACCATCCTGTTAATCGTTTGGACCTACTTCCCTCTCACATCTGTAAGGCCCACTTGGCTCTGTGAAGTCATGACTGACATTGTGGGACAGTCTGTATGTGTGCGTGTTTACTCACACATGGAGGTCTGGGATGAATTATCGTCACCATAGAAACTATCAGTGGGAGGGTTCCGGACTGCCCCATATTGTGCAGCCAAAAGGCAGAAGTTAAAAACCCATTTCCTCCATGCCTTCATGCAAGTACACACACATACACAACATCTTACGTGGGTAGAATTGGGGTTCTGCCACCTGCTGCTGTTTCACATAAACACCTTAACTACTGTCTATTTCCACAACTCTTCTTTCAGTTTTCACAATAGATTTGACGTGTATGCTTTAAACTCTCTAGCAAAGACAGCTAATTTGAAGAAACCTCCCCTTTCCTTTTTCCTTTTCCTCAATACACTTGTCCTTTTTCTTTACTCACCAGATTTTTGAAAAGAGCTGTGACTTCTCTGGTGAACACAGCCAGGTTGAGGAAACCTGTGGAGATTTCATTGTTGTCCTGGTTTAGGTGACTATTCCCCAGGTTCTCCAGCACCTCGATATACTGCTCCTTGTTGTCCACGTGAGCTGAAAAACAACACACATGCACACACAGTGAGACAGTTAAAGGTGATTCAGGCTTGATTTACACTGTAGAGAATCTGAAGAAGGCAGAGTGACTTGCCCTGGTGCAGTGAGAGCATGTGGGATAAATTAGTACTGGTTTCCACCCATTTTGGAGCAAAAGACAAGCAAACATATAGAGACCCATATTTCTCTGGGTCTTAAAGGTCACTTTAAAGAGCATGACCTCAGTGGGCCCACAGTCTCTTGACCATCTGTGGAAAAGGGCTGATGAAAACGGATCTGAGCTCCACCTGGCACCACTATGATTTAAACCGAACTAGTCAAGGTTTCACAGCTACTGTGCACCGAACTGAGGCTTAGACAAGGACATCGTGTAAATACAGGTTATAATTCAAGCTATGGAAATCGTCATTTTAAATAAACAAAAATGAGCACCTGATTAACAATTTCTACCATGTTTATTCAGCAAAGTCATATAGAAACATCCTAGCTGACAACTTTAAAGTGAAACTGAAATCATTTGTTGCGGGCAGTGGACTAACACCTGTCCGAGTGCCCATAGCAGAATAAAAAACATGCAGAAATAAGCAGAAGGTACATCGTAAGTTCTGCTCCAGCTTCCACTGTAATGCAATATAAAATGGTCAAGTGTACCTGGGAGACAGACCATTAAATGGCTGAAACTGAACATTTTGCATGACAGCAAAACTAAATAAAAGAGAGAATACTGTATGAATGGAAGACACAAAATCAATGGCGAGTGGGAACGCTGAGCTATTGTGATGGCATGATCATTTTAAAAAGTATTTTAACAAACAAAATACATGCATCCATCAAACAACAGCTGAGTCACAGAGGACATTGGAGGACGATTTTACAGCTGACCTTTAACATACCAGCAGAGCAAGCCCTTGGCTCCTCCGCCAGAACACACACAGACACAAAGGCCTCCGCTTCTCGGCAGAAAAGTGCTACTTAGCAGTTTATGGGAATAGAAAATGAAAGATCGACTGACCACATGTGTTTTTGTATGTGCGACACAGTAAGATGCCATCAAACCACCATGGGGGAGGAGTGGGCGTATGACCGAGTCTGTATGTGTGTTGAGGGAGACTGTCAATCCATGACTAACATCAGGACTGCTTAAGGGATTCAACAACATAATGTGTGACACAGGGGCTCCTTACATTACAGGAACTGACCCACACGATTATACTTAGATGCACTGGAGTAAATAGAAGCACTGTAGCACTGCCGACTGTATCTAGTTGCTTAATTCTGGACAGCTGCCTCTCTGACTCATTTCTACTAAAAACCTATGAGTTGAAGCCTCAAAATGGGAAGCAGGCTTGTAAGTGTGCACAGAAAAACAACTCCAGGATATGTCATGCAGTTCCTCTGTTTCTCTGGCACATTGTTGAGGTGAACACTCACATCTTATGTATGTTCACTTCCGAGAGTTTGAAGGCAAATTGTGCTGAGAAAAGCTTACAAGACACACACATAACATTCATTCAGTGACCCTATGGTTCTGTGAGGTCACTGAAAACTGAGCACCACGTTGCTGCTGAAACTGCACGTACCTGTTCCCTTAACATGCACCACAAAACCTGTATCAATGTAAACACAATCACCCATTAGGGCTGTCACTTTTTATTCTAATTGCGAACATTCGTCTCAACACGGTAAAAAATAAATAAATAAACATTCTAAATGTAATTAACTGTTCGAATCCAACAATGTACGCTATTTCAATAAGCGGCCAAAGGCTGTCTGATGTCATTGGCCTTGCATTCTTAAAACTCACTATCAGCCTGACCAGGCGCATGTTCTGTCGAGCTCGCAGTAAAGTAAGCTTTACATTATGTTCGCAAGGACAAAATGTGGGATAGTAGCAAGCAACATTGTCAATAAATCCATTTCCTTGATAACTACTGTACATCCACTGATAAAACGTGATATGCTTTTCTAAAACCAGTAAAATATTTTGTTAAAGAAACTGCAAGACACTTACAGAGTCCAGATGTGTGTATAACTTTGATCACCTTCTTCATCCTTTGCAGAATTGTGTGGTCCATTTCCAGAGACTGCAAAAAGAAACACACACACACAAAAAAAAACAAAACAATGAGACAAGGACAGGTGTGTGAAATTAAATTGCAAAAAGATATTTTAATTGCCAATGTCTTCATCTTAGGAGTGGGCAATATGAGTCTCTGTGTCACATTATATGTAGATTTATACTCTGATACTGATCCAACTGAGAAATTGTATCTGTTTTACTAAGTAACTTAAAGCAAGATAACCTTTTTTCACATTGATACAAAAATCCTGCAAATTCAGTCACCTTACAATACTCCTGCCAGTTTCTGTAATTTCACAGTATATATATATATATATCCTCTCACTGCCCAACCTAACTCCATTCAATCCTTCTCTCTCCCCACCATACAGGTGAGAGGCTACAATCTTTCTTGATGTCAGAATTAGATGTCAGTTGTGCAGATCTTTATGCGGTTTTTTTACTGTTCTCAAGGTTTGAAGTAGGTATGTGTGTGTTCACTTAGTTTTCTCACGGTGTGTGTGAGTCAGGCGAACTAATGATTCAGCACTCACCAACAAGACAATCCTGTCTTGTGCTGTCACAATAAAGCCCCGTATGATGTCACTGCATGTATATCACCTGTCTGACTGTCGCTTTTCAGGCTGAAACAATACTTTCCCACATTAAAACCAGACATTAGGGGTTTTGTTTCAGGAAAAATAAATCTTCCTCTAACTCTGACACACGATGCGGATTGTACACTCACCAGCCACTTTATTAGGTACACCTGTACAGTTGTATGTAATTCAATGCAACACTTGTGCCTTAACATCTGTGTATATATTATATTATATTCAGAGGCGTTCCTAATATTCTGACCCTCTCACATGTATATAGCTGGGGAGGACAAAAATACAGACGTCTCTAAATATAATGTAGTTCCGTACAACACCACCTTTAAGTATGACCTCAATAATAAATATAATTGAATTTATACATTTATGGCAATTTCACCAAAAACAGAAACATTCTGAGCTTCATAAACACAGATGTTAAGTCAGGAGTGGCCAGTGAGTGTATATGGAGAGTCAATCTTCCAACCCAACAAGGTTTAAAACTACACCCTGTTTATTCAACTTACACAGGCCACTTGTTTCACCAAGCTAGACATGAGGCACTCTACTTAAGTGCCACCAGAAATAGCTTTAACAAGTCAGAAATACAGACTTGAAGCCCTTGCCTTGTTAGATGCTGTTGTTTACACGCCCCGGTCCTTTGTGGTCAAGTCCACTCCCAAAGTGTTAGTTCAGTAATTAAAAGGTGTTGTGGGTGTTATGTGCCTCAGCAGACAATGAATGGGAAAGTAATTTAGTGGAGACTGGAGACGGGAGTTGCTCGCTGCTGCTGCTGCTGCTGCTGTCGTTTCCTCTGACTGGTAAGTTGGTTGGCAGACAGGGGATAAACAGTGGAAACAAGCTGGTGCAAGTGAACAAAACAGGTTGTGTTTGTTGAATTTCGTGAAATAAATGAGGGCACTAAGAGACACACACGTAAAGACAACCCACCCATCAGTCCAGACACACAGACTGTCAAACAACAACACACATATTTGCCCTGGAGACGGCAGAGAGCTCCACCTGTGAGCGTGCCGTGTGTTCATATGCAAAAACGTGTACACCTGCTGTCAGGGTGTGTATGTGACTGCTGACAGCAGAGCGTATTATTTCATGAGTAAACTAATACCTGATCCTTATTAACTTGGCATGATTATACACCGGCAAGAAAATCTACAATGTTTCATTTCACCACGTAGCATTGAACATAGTAGAAAACCTTAGACCTGTTCTTTAAAATAAAAATCACTCAAAGCCCCTTATAGATTATAGCTAAAATCATTCCATATCTTTGTCTTTCTCCCTTTATCATTGTCTCTAATCAGGAGTAGCCTAACAAGTAGCCATGTGTGGGTAAATGATGTCCGTCTCCCTGTCTGCAGCTGTAAACCACAAACATCCCCACACATTACCCAAGCCATTATTCAAGCTTTCTGAGAAGACTAAACATAATAACCATAAATCTATCTATAAAGGGGCTGTTGTATTTACATCTGTGCATGTGTGCGTCTGTCTGTCTGTCTCTGTGCACATGTGTAGGATTCCAGTGTGACCCTCCCCGGAGCAGCTATTCCAGCTATGTATTTTCCAGTGTGTCATCATCACCATAAATAAGGGCAGCAGTCCAAGATAAATACAGCAGGCAGTTTTCTAAAACTGCTCTCTTTATAAACCAAAGATTCCGCTCCCTCAGTCTCTGTTTGACTGCCAGTTTCTATGCAGGAAAGTTTTAATGAAGACCTCTCATTTGTCGGTCTTTGGTTCTTGTTACCATTGCTAACTCTGAGAGACGAGACAGTCCAAGTAACTTCAAAACAGTGCTGATCTACTCAAAAGATCACAGGTAAAACTAACATTACACGCTCAGGTATCTTGCACCTCCAAACTGCTCGCAGGCAGATGTAAGATGAAAAGACCCTGAACCCACCAGGCCTATACATTATATCCCCTCGGATTCTCTCTAGTTATCCTTGACCAGATGTACCCTGTAGAAACTCATAAGCATGCCTAAGCATTTAACAGCCTAACTAGACATCCTATCTCCACTAAACATTTCTAATACATAAAGTATCTATCCAACATCTATCTGACAAAAAATACCTAACACATCTCACACAAGCTTTTAATGACTCCCTGCTTTAATTGGCGATGTATCAATTGCAATCCAGCTGTTACTGTTGGCAAACAAACATTCTATATAACTTTTTTCCCACATGTTGCATGTCTAATTTTAGAAAGAGTTCCTGAGGCATCAATTTGTAACTGAAAACCACAGTCATTCAAACTCAAGTGAGCTCTAACCTGACAATAGAACTCCGTCTTGGGTTACAGCTTAACAGTGAACAATAATGTTTTGTCACAAGGAAGATTGACACACTTGGATTATTTGTTTTATGGCAGAGTTCATGGCAGCCCACCTCCGTTTCCTCCTTTGCCCAAAGAGCTTTGTGAGAACAGAATTTAAACAAACACAAACGCACACGCACTACGATCTCAAACAAGCCTTGAGGCAAACAACCAGTTCACGCAAACAAAATGAGCAAAACTGGCCTTCGCAGACACACTAGCCATCATGGAAAAACATGACTTACAATAACAATATCTTATTCTGTCAGTGGGCCACGCTTCCTTCTGCCATGTCAACTGTTCCATGTGTGTTCTGTTCGAGTCCCATCTCAGTCGGACTCCCATGACAGGAAAGACAAGGCCAAGTAAAGTCGCAGATGCTACATATTACTGCACAACCTTTACTGTAACACTGAACCAGGTCAGGCTGCACTGAATGACTGTGAATGCCAACATCCAGTCTTTTCCTGAACACTGTACAAACACACAGAACACACTGACAAACTGTGCTAAAGCCATACAGCAGCTTATACACTCACACCTACCTGAAACGAATGCAGTCTAATACAATAGTCCTGCAATAAATCCTCCCTTCATGAAAATGGTAATGTTCAGTTTTATAGGGGTGTTGATTCAAATATGAATTTCCCTCAGGATCAATAAAGTATCTATCTAGTTTAAACTGCACTTTATTACCCAGAGGTGTTTATTATTTGTTTAGCCTAGACTGATATGAATGAGAAGAACCTTTTTATTGCATTGCTGTATTAGATTGAGCTAAACTGCCCCACTAAGTTGTATGTCTCAGTTTTTGTTACAATGGTCCAAAAAACACGCATGAACTATGAAACTGTCCATTTTGGTACCAGATAGTTCACATGTTCACCCAGGTAGCTATCCCAAAACCACAAACCATAGACATGCATCTCTATACACATATGTTGCCCCAACAGCAGTTTCTGCACTTGCCCCTCTGTAAACTGATCCCTTTAGTTAGTAACAGCCCCTAAAATGAAACTACTGTTTCGTCTGCCCTAACCAGGGGCAAAGTCAGCAAGCTTATCTCAGGCAGTTGTGTACACCTGGAAACAATGCTGAATCAAATCCAACAGCCCCTTAACGACTCAGAATGGTTCATCTTCACGGTGCTGTAAAACCCTCAAGTTGCCACAGAACAAAAGCTGGTCACCTCCAGGTGAGTGTGGAGGACTTATCTACCTGGGCTAAAGTTAAATATACGCCACAGTGTATTGATAGGTAAACAAGACAAACAGAAGCATGCGTCTCTGCACCACCTCACCTCCTCCACGGTGGAAACTGTGTTCCTACAGTCGCTCATTTTGGACTGAAAAGTTGAAGTGCCCGGCGAAGATAAATCCTCGTTTGTCAGGACCACAAAGTCCGAAATGCTTATTTGCTCCAGCATGTTTCGGGAGGAAGGGGTCCAAGTGTCACCGTGGGAGAAAAGTGAACGAACGTTTCAAGCGCGCAAGTTAATTCCCATTTGAAGGCAAAAATAAATACTTCACTCCTCCATTGTATGCAAGAAGGCGACGGAAGAGTGACCGTGCTCCTCTGAATGTTGTCCCCGAAAACTTCTTTAAAGTGGAAAGTTGTCTAAAACCAGACTTGAGTCCTGACCGAGTTTAGTCTCCACTCAACGAGCGTGTGCGTGGAGGTGTGCCAGCGCGCTATTGTGCGCACAGTGAGGGAGGGAGCAAACTCCATCATCACGTGGGAATGTTTGTGCTTTCTGCCACAGTGCAGAGAGAAATGTGCGTGTCGGTGTGTGTCCCTGTCTTCCTCTCTTTCATTCTTACTTCTCATTTCTATGCAAACTTCAGAGGGTCTTCACTGTGGTCGCCATGGATATGCAGAATGCCTCATTCACAAACCGAAGGAGAGGGATTTCAGTGCATGAGATGAGGGTGCTGAGGGGAGAGAAGTTCTATGAGACAGAGAGGCATACAATTTATCAAGTAACAAGTAATGTTATAATTCAACACTGTGCAGTTTTGCCAAAATCTTGTGAGAGATGAAAAGCTATTTTACATTACTTATACTTAAACAAAACAAAACAAAACAAAAAAACAAGTGAAATGCTCAGTGCTTGCAATAAGAGGGTTTCATGTGCACTGCTCTTTAATCAGGAGTTTGGAGGTGTAATGCCGCGTTAGATCTTTGCACCTTGATCCTCTTGGCTGTGGTTCTAAAGCTCCTTTTCATCTCATGAAAAGGCATTTTTCAATGAGGGAGGATTTCTATAGTCCCTCCCCACTGACCTTCTCCTGAAATCATCTGACAAAGTGAAAGAAAGAATGCATCAGAGAGGTTGGGAGAACTACAAGTGCTGTATATAGAGCAACTCCTGCATGCCTGGCATTGTCAAGCCTGTCAAGTCAAAGAAAAGAAATGTATCACTGAACCTTGCCTCAGGGCAGAGCAGTCATATAATATACTATGAACTGTGGATGGGTGATTTTAGGAAGCTGTATTAAACACAGTGGCTCCTTTTGGTTTTTACCACAAAACCACATTAACTTCATAAAGGGATCATTAGTCCCAGCTCTATAAGGCAACTTAAGGTTATTTTAACCATATTCATCAGAGAAAAAAATAGACTCACTTTGTGGTAAAAGGGCTTTATCTGCAGCTACTTATCACTGCCACTCAGTGAACAGTGAACAGAATGGATGTTGTGTCTTAACCATATGCGCTCACAGTGGCGCTGTGTTTATTCACAATGACAGACAAATTCCTTTTTGTGCTGCAAGTCTGCTCTGAGTAAAAACACACACCAAAATACACATTCACAGCACTGATGTTGTTGTGCTGTACTCGCATGCACGTACACGTGTACACAGAACGTTAAAAGTAAAAGGAGCGGTTATTAAATCTGTCCCTTTGAAAGCACACACTGAAACTTCTCTGAAAACCAAACTAATAGGCTACCTCAAAGGGTTTCCTTAGAAGTGAAGGCAACACACCATCCAAAATATGTACTAAAGTCTCCAGAAGAAATGCTGGAAATTGCTCCTTTTACCCTATTAATCATTAGGAAAAAGCCAACTGCTTTTATAAGGAAGTGACGGCACACGACAAACTCCAAACAATGCAGACAAATAGTTTTAGTGACCTACTTTACCGGTGCCTCATTTATTTCTTTTGCATGCCTGTGCATGCAAAAACCTCGAGTAGTGCGGGAAAGAGAAAAACAATGTGATGGATAGATGTCTGTTGTTGTGATATACAGTATGTGCAACATATGTGTATCTGCATGCATTCACATTTTGTATGCATGTCGGGGCTGATGTAATGCAGAGGCATGCTGTGTTCTGACAGTACCCTCCTTCAGTTTCCCCTAGTAAAGAAGCACCCCCTTTGTGTGTCTGCCAGCCTTCCAGCCTGGGTGCTATTGTAAAACTAAGCAAACCGGTGTGCTCAGGCCATGCACTTACATATAGCTGAGAACACAAGTCCAAGGACAGGGAGGGGGAAGTGTTGACACGGAGAATCAACAGAGGGAGTTCTGGAAAGTGGAGAGAGTGAGGGAGGTGGAGATGCACAGCACAGGGAGTAAGACAAAGGAGGAATGACCGAAGGAATGGAGAAAGAGACAGAGAGAAACACAAACAGGAGTGATTAACTTTCCCTCCTGGTCTCCACCCCTTTCCTTCCTATACACCACATAATGCATCATTCATTTCCCATATCTACATACACTAAGATAATTTTACTCTTCGTTTATATCATCAGAAAGTCCTTTCTTTCTTTTTCTTCAAACCGTTTTAGAGTAAATCCTCCTGACAGGCTGTGAACTGTAAAGTTTTGGCTGTAGGGGAGTGAGGGATGCCAAATGCGGCTTCTCTCTTTCTACCCTGACGCACACATGCAGCAACACAGAGGTTGTAGCGACATCTTCCAGTAAAGTTTACAGCTGCCAGGATTTCCTCGGTGCTTCCCAGCAGCACAGAGGAGTGCCACTAGATTCTCTAACACCCACCCACCCCCAAATCTTCCTTTCCCTCTCCACTCTGGTTGTTGACTCAGCTCTGCTAGCCCTGTTATCAATTTACTACCCCTGTCAAAGCAGTAGGCCCAGGCTTACCGTAAACCCCCCCCATCAACACGGATGACTGAAAATGGGAGGATTGGAGAGGGAAAGAAGAAGTGCGAGGGGGGGTTATTTATGGTTTAACGCGGGTATTCAGTTCCCCACTGGAATAAGCATATGAACTGGGCTTCTATTACAAACTGTACAACTGCATTAAGTGCTGAGGAAACACCTCTGATGCAAACAGAGCTGAGACATTTAGTGACAACTTCTGCTCTGAACAAATACACCATCCCTGACTCACTACCTGAACATTATCAGCCCAGTGGCATGTGTGTCCTCTGTGGCATGGCTACACACCTACCCACCAAGTTCACCGTCAGACAAGCGGTCTCTCCTGCACACACGTCATTAAAGTTGGTACGGCAGCAGGGCATTCTTTAGAAGGGAGCAGACAGTCAAACTTGTTTGTGATTCATAATTCACAACAAATGTGGTATTACATAGGATTTATGATGCCAGTCTCACTCAAGACAATCACCAACTTTTCCTGGAACTATTTCACCTAGGTGTTGAGTAATTTCACTTCATGCCATTACGTGGATAACTCAGTCCGCTTTTATACCTGCCAGAAGGAAATATATTTGAATAAAAATGTGTATTCTGCAAACAAAAAAGCACTGAAAAGCTTCCAGCATATTTATGCAATGGTAGCGCACAAAGAGGCATGTTAGTTTTGGGCAATTTAAACATTCAGCTAAGAACATTTACTTCAGTCCCTTGTCATAACAATTGGTCCTATGCGACAGAATTGAGGTGGTCTGCTATTTATGTAGATACAGTATATCACCGCCACAATTTGGCCCTCATCAAAGTCATTCAAATTCTTACACTTGCTCATTTTTCCTGCTTCCAACACATCAACGTCGAGGAGTGAATGTTCACTTGCTGCCTAATATAAGCCACACTGACAGGGGCCACTGTAAGGAGATAATCAGTGTTATTCACTTCGCCTGTCATTATTTTCTTCGTCTTCTTATTCTTCTTCTGCTGTTTACTGGTGGTTGGAAAACAGCTTTAGGTGCATTACCGCCACCTTCTAGACTGGAGTGTGTGGTCATATTGTTATGCCTGATAGGTGTTTATGTAGTACTGCTTCATTTGGTATCGACACCGTGTCACTGGTTTATTTGTCTGGGCTCTTTGGGAAAGCTGAGCTGAGCCTTCGAAGCAAATAGACACTAAGTTGACAGAGATTTGGTTTGACAGTGTCGCATTCAGTACTAAAGATTCTACATTACTAGACCATGAAACTAGGAGCAAATGAAAGCAGTTGATGTAAGCGCTGTAGCATGCACATCGGTGGGAGTTGAAGGATCATGGAACGTAGTAGCTAGTGTTAATTTAATAGATGAAACGAGCAAGAGGTAATGGGATTTGAACTGATGGTGCATCATGAAAACCACAGTCTTGCAACAATATGCAGTAGCGTGGGTTTGATTCCTGACAGAGTTGAGTGTTATTTAGCTCATCAATTAAACATTTGAAACGAGATCACATTTGCTATCCAGCCTATTGAACATCCACTATTAAACATCTTTTAAACTATGGGCTATTTAGACTTGTTTCAGAACAGGAACATGCATGACAAATCAAATCCCCAACAATCTACAAACCAATAAATGACACATCTCGATTGCACTTCAATTTATTGACCACTAGATGTCCTTCTAGAGCACCGTGTAATGAACAATTTTTTGAATAAAGTGTGGAAGCTTCAACAAATATTCATTCATTCATTTTCTACCGCTTAGTCCCTGAACGGGGTCACGGGTGGGGCCGGAGCCAATCCCGGCCAGCAATCGGGCGAAGGTGGGGTACACCCTGGACAGGTCGCCAATCCATCGCAGGGCTAACACATAGACGAACAACCACACATACACGCACGCACTCCTATGGGCAATTTAGAGACACCAATCAACCTAAGCTGCATGTCTTTGGGAGGAAGCCGGAGCACCCGGAGAGAACCCACCATTTAGGGAAAATCAGGGGAAAAAAAGAAACAAAACACAACTTGAAGCAACATGTCATCTCACCACGACAAGAAAAGGCCATACTGCTGTCATCGTCCCTCTGCTGGGTTCACCGCCATCAAGCCTATAAGGAACATTCACTTTAACAATTCCATGCATGTAATGTGAGAAAAAAAAAAAAAGGAGCATAGACAATATGTAAACCATGGCTTCAGTATTTATTTTAGAATTTCAAAACAGACACCATATTAGAAAATATTAGGCTAAGTGCTGCATGTCGTACAAAAACAGCTGAGCCCCCTGCAAAGGCCAGTATCAACTTTCAACAGATTCATACACAATAGGTATAAATACAAAACTATGTACAAATAACAGACAAATAATGCTTATTTTTTATTTATTTTTTTAAAAAGGGCTAATTCTGTTTTCACATTCTCTAATCTACATTATAAAATGCCAACACACTATGCCGACACCTATTTCCCACGCTGTCAAATACACACACACACTCACACACATAACATTTCAAGTTTGCTAGGACAGGACCGTTAGCTTATCTCTGCAGTGTAAAGGGAAAGCCACAAACACATCAGCATAAAATTCAAATGACCAAATGTCTAGAACGCTTCAAAGAAGGTTCATCACATAAACATCACAGCTGGGCTGACCTCTGGTGCACATCTTTGTTATTTAAAAAGACTGCACCATAATAAGTGGGAAAACATTCCTGGGCCTAAAATCTGAACACTAAAGATGAATTCCTCATTGTTTCTGTTGCATTTATAGTCAACAGACTTCAATTTCAGAGTATATACAGGAAAAGGTTAAATCTTAATTATATCAATTAACACCCTTTCTCTCACCTGCACCACAGATGATGCATTTCATTTTTGGAGGATATTTCCTGAGAAATACAATAGTAGTTTTACACTACTAAATAAAAGAAAAAAAATCTTCAATTAAAATCAGCTACCAAACTCAATCAACACAGAAGAAAATGGAAATGAAACAAAGCTGCCAAAGCAACAAGAGACAGAGCATGGTTGGTTCTCTTGTTCAGTCAGAGACTGTATACGTTCAATGAGTGCCCATTATCAGGAATTAACTCTGGAACTTTGTCCAGTATCAGCTGTCACAAGCTGCACAATGCAGCACCAGACAGGCTGTAGGAGAGAGCAGACCTGACAGGAGCAACAGCAGTATGTCCATATGTCTTCACATATACTATATGTGTATGTTCACGCTGTAGATGCTGGTATTCAGCAGGTTATTCACAGCTTAATTTGGTCAGTGCTGAAAATACTAGGACACTTACAAACACACCCTTTGTATGGTTCTTGGTGGCTTTAGTGTACTGTCATCCAGTGATTGGCAGTTAAAGCTGAAACAGTACAAGGCTGCCCCCTTGTGCCCAAAGAGTGGCATAAACACATTGAGACTTTGGCAACAAGTGAGATGAAAAAAAAAATCCTGAGTTGTCACACTGCAAACTGATAATCAAATGTTTTCAGACTTTGTTGCTGATGTAACATACATAATAAGTCCTGTGTTTGTATGACAGTACCAATATTCACATTTAGTGTAATTTGAAAATGTGATAAAGTCCAAAACAACCCCTGCTTTTTAATGGTTTCCTTACAATAAGAGATCACAGCCATCCCCACAGTCTGCTCATTTTATAATAATATGTACAATATGTGATTTTTTACTTTACTACAAATAAACAAAGGAGGTAAAAAGCCTCCTTTGGATTCAATGGCATAAAAGCAGGCGTGGCAAACCCAGAGAGTAATGGTTTCATAGTGTAATGTTTCCTAGAGAAGGCTTTCAATTCAACATTGCCCTCTCTTTCCTCTAAATTTTCTCCTTCCTTCACCTGTACCTCAGCTCTTCAACAAATCCCCAAGATCATAGGTGTCAAAGCAATCTGACACTCCCTCGCCATCCTCCAGGCTCCAGAGGTAGTCGTCATGGTCCAAGGGTGGCGAGAAACTGACGAACTGGTTATTGGGATCAGAGATGAATGAGGTGCCAGGAAGCTGGTCCTCTGTCATCTGGAGCAGGCTGGGGGGCAAACCCAGCAGACCTTCTACATCAAGCAGAGAGGACCTGGATGCTGCAGTTGAGGAGGCAGCTGGAGCTGCTGCAGACATGTTGGCTGTGTTTGAGGACAGGACAGAGAGGGGGAGAGGCTGAGTATGCATTTCTACACATAATTCTCAACAACAAAACCCTTTAGTGAGGCCTGCATCAGCTACCCTACTACTAACAGCAATTTGTTTAGCTTAAGATAAAAGCTGAGTTCATAAATATGCCTACCAGCACCTCTAAAGCGTGTCGTTGTTTTAATCCATACACAAGCAGACACTTAGCATCACACAGCATGTAACCACAAAATGTGTAGTTTGATACTTCTACCTGTGAACGGATTAAAAATGAGTTACAAAGTGAAAATTCCCGAGTTTTAGAGGCGCTGTTAAGCATATATTTGAACTTTGGAGAGGGGGCTAACTGTTAGGCTAGTAGTCTCCTGACTCCAGCTTCTAAACCAACACACAGACATGAGTAGTAATGAAATTCTCATCCACCGCAAATCTCAGCAAGAAAGCAAATATACAGTATGTATAAGCCAAATGTTAAAATGTTATTTCAATCTTAGGCTCAAACACTTAAGCCTCAAATAGCACAGTTTGTGGTAGCTGTCCAAGAGCAGTGCACAGGTTTAATGTATGCATCAGAGACCAGCCAAAACCAAAATAAGACGAACTGTTCAACCAGCTTTTTGAGCTCAAGTGCAAAACTAAAGTGAGACTCCTACTGTACGAAAATCCCCAGCTTACAGTCAGCAGGCTCCTCTTTGATGCAGTAACTTGGTGGTGCTGTTGGGGTTGCAGTGAGAGGGCAGGGGGGTGGAGGAAACTCCTTTTTAGGGGTTGCAGCGCTCTTGATTGGGCTAGCATCTTCAAGACCTTCCTCTGGACAGAGGTAGACCTCAATGGGGCCGTTCTTACTCTTTAAATAGATCTGTAACGACCCCTGATGTAAAGACAAAGGGACACAAACAGATTCCATTTAGTATAAAGCACATCAGAAATACTAGTGTGGTAGTTCCTAGCTTCCTTGCATGTATTTCTTCCTTTTAGAGTTACCAGTAAAATGTATTTTGCATATACACTTGTTAATAATATGAAACTTGAACTACCACAAGGATTACTCACTAATCTTCTCAAACAAATTTGTCTTAGAAACATTTAACGAGACTTTCATCCATCACACGGAAGAACTGACATGATAAACATTTACAGGGGAATGCAGTGGGTTAGAAACTGGAAGAGGAGGAGGAGACAAGACAACCACAGCGTAAATTTCAAAACAAAGATGTATTCTTACCCCTGCTGTGTCTGGCACCTCGAGCTTGGTCTCGGCAGGAGCCTTGACAGCAATGACTGTCTGGTCTCTGAGACTGCCAATTGAGCGGATGTCCTGGTACGTTACATAACCCAACGTGCGGTGTGGGGTCAAGGGCAACAAAATCAGCAGACGTTAGGTGGATATTTAAACACAAAAGCGATGCAGAGGAGATGTAAATGGACACAGAGATGCACGTAAAGGATATCTCTGACTCTCTTTGTACTCAGTGAGCTGTTTGAGCTGTGTGGTGCTGGAGTGAATCAGTTCATCCAGACGTCTCTCTGCTCTCTCCAAGTCTCCCAGCTCTTTCCTCAGTGCACAAGCCTTCTCTCCCTCAGCTGCACTGCCCTCAAATACATCTCCAACACTGCGAGACCACACATGTAAACAAAAAGCTAAGCGCGTGATGAATTAATTACATTAGAATGAGTAAGTCATTGTCAAAACATCTCCAAAATGCAGTGTTGCAGATGGTTAGCACTATACATATTCAGCTGAGGTGGTTTAGTGATGTCTAGAGATGTTGTAATACCCCCAAACATCCACTAGATGGCAGATATGTCAACAGTTAAGTGTAAGCAGGAGCAAATAGACTGAAATGCAGCTATATTTACATATTATAATACAATCCAGCACAAACCACTTTCATTTTTACTGTTAGAGAAGGGTCCATCCTGGTGTTGCTTCAGATTGCTTTTTTTTTTTTTATTGAAAGGTATAGTAGTTCTTACTTGTAAAGGCAAAAAAGTGTATTTTCCAAGGACATATTACTAAAGGTCATGATACAATCAGACCACAAAATGGTCCCAAAGTTAAATGTCCATTTCTACTCACAGCCACTGGATGTTGTTCTTTGATTTTTTTCTAATCAGTTGGACTCCCTCCAGGACATTGGTGATATCATAGATGCGTCTCTTCTGAACCTCCAGAACCTCAGTGGCCCAGTTCAGGTCAAGAACTCCGTCGGGAGACTCGGCGATCAGACCCACAAATTTCTTGGTCAGAAGACCCAGTGAGGTGTCATACCGTGTTCGTTCACCTGGAGACTTTGGAGCTGAGAGAAGATACTACACTATAATCCTGAACTTCATGTGCACAATTCCAATTTTTCAGAACTAATTTGAGTGCGTATTCAGTCGATTTGCTGATGTGGAGAACTGATTCAAGTAGTTATTAATTAATTAATACTAAGCATGGTATTTAAAACATCAGTGATGGTACTGCCTGTGATGCACATTGCTAAACTGCTCCTCTCCCTGATAATGACTCCATGTCAGCCATGTAAATGAAGCCATCACTTTTTAATTTGGTAAAGGTCTAATAATTTATCTTATTTTAGTTTAATTCGCAGGCCACATGTAGCTGTGTAGCAGTTACTTTTTTGGCATTCAGACAGAGCTGCTGTGCATGAAATCCCCAGCAAGACTGTTCAAACATAGCAGGACCTAGCCAGATACAGCCACAGCGTTCACATGATATCCAACATCATGTGAGACTGGCATACTGTTGTTCCTCTTAGCGTAGGGTGAGCAGTCCTTTAATTTCCACGTCAGCCCAATTTCCAGCCATTCAGCGTTAGCTCCTGCTGCTAAACCGGAACCCAAATTTCACTGCCTGCCTGAAATATACGCCACGAGAGAGCGAGGGAGCCAGAACGCAGCAGTGGTCAAGTTATATAGTGAATGAAGAGAGGAAGCTGCATTAGCAAGGAGCAGTTAAACACAATGCTACAGAGTTGTGCTGTATCACTGTTGTCATCTTACTGGGAATTTGACCACTTTAATTCAGACATGAGGCCAGTTAGAACGTAGCTAGGTCCAATCAGGTAAAATTGCGGTAAAAGTTTGCCGGCTTCACAACTCAGGGCTTTGTTAAGACATGACACCTAAATGTGAAACAGCCAACACATTCCTGGCTAGGGGCGCCTGTCTGAAAGGGGCTTGAGACATTTAGATTAGAACGGCCCATATGCTGCTTTTCTCTACAGGAATGTTTGGAGGAGCTGGCCTCTTTCATGTTTTTAACCAATTGCTCCACAACACATAAATCTGTCCCCTACTTCTGAACACGTAGCCCTTTTGGATTGTAATTTGACTGCTTCCTGACACTTATCACTTTTGTATTTAGACCATTTTATTGGCTTTTTGTGATGCTTTTCTTATAGTTAAAATGGACTCAATAAAGCCATGTTGTTCACCACATTCCACAATTGTTACAACTTTCTGTTGATTTTTTTGTGTTTTACAGTTCCCGCTGGAGGAAGAGTCTCACTTTCAATTGAAATTGGCTTTGTGCGCATTACAAACCTGGTTTTACTTTAATATAATCAGTTCAGGGATATTATTGGCACAGATCTAACCACTAAACCCACTATATTACACCTCATCTGAGCCTTGAGGTGTACTCACTCCTTGGACTTGGTATCCTTGCTGCGATACTGCCTTTGCCTTTTGGTGTGCGGAACTCTGGGAGGTAAAGAGGGTCCTCTAGATCCAGCTTCCTTTTAGCCTAGAGAGAAAGGAGTTCATGCACATTAGAAAAAAAAAGCATAATGAGGGTGTTTCTGCTAGGTGCAGCATTTACTAAGAGCTAATCATTCTGTCAACATAAGAACATATACAGTATAGTGTAAATATATTCCCGACTAGAATTCTTTCCTACCCTGTGGTCTTGATGGAAACAATCTGTCATCATGCCAGCTCAACAAATCCTACCGACTTCACATAATGCCAAGTTTAATTGTTAAAATGTAGGGTGTAGACCAGCCCGTGTATGAAACAGTGACATCAATGCTGTGAACAGAGAGCTGCTGTAAAGTGCCACATCATAAATGTGCCAACAGCCCTCAAGTACAGGAACAAAGCACCCCCCCCCTCACACTTTCCCATGCACTTCAAGAGTGGCTGATCTTTTAAGTGCGTGTGTGTGTGTATGAGAGCTGACTGCAAAGAGAGGTGAGCTGCTCTCTCAACCCACTGCTTGCAAAACACTATGAAATCCCTAAACTCACTCAATGTTCTCTCCTCCCCCTCAGAAATCCCCCGTCTTCTACAGCTTAACACACAGCCTCTCCACACAAACACACCTATCTACTGTATGGTCTGCAATGGATCATAAACTCTAAGATCTGTAATCGCAGTCAAAAGCACATGCAACCTTTGAATCACAATATGTGACCAATAATTTTTTTCTTTTGTAGTGACTCCATGTCTCAGCAGCTTTTTCCCCTGCCGCAGTAAGACTGATGGCAAATACGAAAATGTGAGAATATATGTGCAATAATCCCTTACTAGATATTCTTTCTGGCTTTTGACTCCTTACCTGACTCCAAAGGAGAGCTGCACAAGAATTTCTATTTGCCTAGACCGTCTGTTTGTGCATAAATGGCAAATAACACTTTTTTGTCACCACAGTTGTGCAAGAGACCAGTGAGCTGCTTTAGTTAATAGGTTTAGACAACACGGAGACAATTTACAGAGATGGGAAAAAGGGATGAACTGGCTTAAACATGTGAGGATGTGCCTGTGTGAGTATGGGGATAATGAAGGCTGCCATCGTCCCAGTGTGCTCCCTGACAACTCCACCTGTTGACTGGTGACATCTGGAGCAGCAAAGCAAAATATGTGGTGGCTTTTAATCCCCACAGCATACAGGCAGCTGTAGAAAAACTTCAGCAGAACAGGATGGTGGCTGGCTACTTTGGAATAAAAGGGCCATTAGCATTTATTAAGCCCTCTTGTAGTATAAAAAGATGTGTTTTTTGCTAGCTCAGTCCCGACAGTACCTGTCAAACACTCGGGGTCACAGAGACAAATTAGATGGCACTGCACGGTCTCCAAGCAGTTGATCAAGATCTGCCAGATTTTATTAGACTATCCAATCCTTAGTATCCCAGCACAACACTCCACAAAAATACAAATAAACCTTCACATAAAATAAAGTGGCGCTTCATAACCTCCCATGACCTAGATATGCCGATCAAACTGCAGCACAATTACATTTCTCAGGCCTGCAGATCTACACTTAAGAAGTCACAGGCACAAGGTATAGTGACATGTTATAAGAGGGGTAACGGTTTCACCCTGCAGCTGTACTGGTTTTAGGGCGGGGGGTCCCTTTTTTTGCATGAGGGATTTTTCGGTGAGTCAACCATATTACACAAACAGCACTTCATCTTGTGCAAAGACAGGCTGTCATCCTTACAAACCACTGAGACATAAATCATTTAAAAAATAACAATTTACCACTAAGGACACAGATGTGTTGCAGCCATATCAGGACATACAAACATCCTGAAAACTAAAAACCTGATCATTTGGATCAAACTTAGTAAGCAATGCATTATGTTCATCCTAGAGTAAGGACAAGTCAGTCAATTTAAAATAAGCTGCTCTGCAGCCTGCCAGAGTTTAGACCCGCTGCCCTGAGAAAACTACCCTTGTATTCGCTCTTTATCTCCAAGACCCACTGTATCACTCCACTCATGTTTACTTTAACCTCACCCTGCCTGCCTGCCCAGTTACACCCATACCCAGCACGTGGCTGTCTCTGATTGCTGTACTACATTCCTTGGCTGATCTCCAAAGGAGGGGAAGGGGAGGGGGAGGCAGGTGCTTTGAAATGCAAAACTCCCCCTCTTGTGGACACTGCGCTCAACGGCACTGGCCTGAGGCTTGAGTAAAGTAAGAGCCTCTTTCGGATACACCCTGGAACCCTGAAATTCTCTAGACATTACCCAGGGGAGCTGTATGTGAGAACGCAAATGTCTGAGCCAGTCGACCCGGACCTGAAACGAACTTGACTCTACCGGCCCCCTGTACAAAGTCTGCGCAAGGTCCGAGTTAGCTGGAGTGAGCCATGTAAGAATACAGCAATGTATAATCCGGACTATTCACACGAGATAGTGGGCGTGTTGAAGACAATCCAGAAAAGCCCTGTTTACTGCTAATGTGACACAAAACACTAAAGTTACACGGAGCTTGAATTACCCCAAAATTCTAATCATATTAATTCAAAACAAAGTTAAAATCGCGACTATGCTAGGTCACCAGTATTACCCCAAACCCATTAGCCTTAGATGCTAACGAAGGAACAGAAGGACAGTCCTCCATAGCTGCCTTCTCTGGACTGCCTGTGGTTAAAAAAAAAAAACAACAACATTTTTTATAACATGTTGGCAGGAGGGGTTAATTTACAGACTGTATTTTGATGGGATAACAACAGAAGTGCAGCTGTGTGTTATGAAGGTGGGTCACATTGCTGACAGACACCACATCATCACCAATTTCACTTGATTTATCAGACAATGTGTACAATCTTAGTGCACCTTTAAGACCAAGCCAAGCATCTTGTGCCCCAGTCAAAAAGATAAAAAAGATAGCGGTTATCATGTTATTTAAGTTGAAGGAAGTGAGCTGTACACAAAGAGGCAACACTTCCTGTAAACATTAGACACATGACTGAACATGCAATGAAGCTGCTGTGTCAGTAAGTGCATGGATAAATATTTCAGCTATTTCAAATGAACACTGCACGGCAGCTGTCCTCAGCCATAGGAACACGAAACTGCAAGACAAATAATGTGTTGACGCGTCCTGATGATCATGTGCACTAAACTCAATATTCAGTGCACATGAGCTGTGGCAACGAAGCTCTGTGGCTGAAAACTGAGGTCAGCCTAATTTGGATACTGATACTCTAAATACTGATAATCTAAATCTAAACTAGATGTGGACAAAATGTTCTAATATTTGGGACATGACCATAAATGGCTCGACTGTCTAAGTGATGCCACTGGTCCAGAAAAAAAGACCCACCGGCAATCTGTGCTTAGCTATTACTACCTCTATTAGTAAGACTAGAAAGAGGAAGGTGTACAATTGCCTCTGCAAAGACATTTTTGAGCAAAGAAGGAAGCAATGAAATGGTTTCAAGAACAAATCAGTCCACTGTATGGGAGAAACATTGAATTACTAGGCTTTGTACATTAATGACACATCAAAAACGGTTTAGTCCATTAACCAAATCACTGTATAATTTGATTGTTAGGCTTCAAAAATGTTAACATTTAAACCATTACTACTGAAGGTTTACCTAACTTATTGGAAAGTGGTGAGGAAGTTTCATAATCATGGGAGTCTGAAAGTTGCAGTACAAGTTCACAAGTGCATCACTCTTTCTCACCTCAATTAAACTTTAGGTTTGGTGGCATAAATTACCCCCCCCCTCCCCTTCGCAACATGGTCAGGCACACCTGCCAGTGTTTTAAGTCACTTACATAGAGGTTAATGTAGTCAAAACAAATCCAAACACATTTAGGTATGTGATGCAGAGGTGGGAGTAAGTCACACGTGCAAGTCCCCATCAAGTTTCAAGTCTCAAGCAAGTCCCAAGTTACTGTGGTGAGTCAAGTCATAAGTCAAGTCAAGTCTGAGGGTGTGAAAAGTGAAACTTGTGCACTCATAGGCTGTAGACTAACCTTCAGCTATTAAATTAAAAAGTCAAGTCTCCAATCATGAATACCAAGTCAAGTCTTTTACCAGTGTTAATCAAGCAAGTCTCGAGTCAAGTCATGCGACTTGAACAGAGGCCATTATCAGGGTGGGGGGGGGGACCAGTCAGCATACTGGTTTCATATCTACAGCTTGTTGCCATTTTCTGATGTTAGTGTGCAGTATCTGTATACACACAAGACACTGTACATTTAGTTTGGGCCAGTTCTAGGCAAACCATTTGCCACAGGAAGTGGTCTTAATGCTGGATTTTAGGGAGATAGCACCTGTTCACGTCTGATCAAAAATTCACCCATACAGACATGCTGCTCCCCATTGTTTCAGTACATCTGAATCAAAAGTAACAGGCCGGCTCTCATTTTACTGCTTTTCTTGTGATGACGAGAAAAGGAAAAGGCTACAGTTGATTAGACAAGCCACAGTATTCTTAAATGAATTACTTAATTTGATAAAAAAAATAAAACTTCGATGGATTGGCGACCTGTCCAGGGTGTACCACGCCTTCGCCCGATTGCCCCGATTGCGCCCCCCGTGACCCTGTTCAGGGACTAAGCGGTACAAAATGAATGAATGAATGAATGAATAAAACTTCTAGAGGTGCCCTGATTTGCTGCCTCATAATGTAGGTAGCTAGTTAGCACAAAGTTAACCTAAACACTATTCAGACACATTTTACACAGATGAAAGTAACGGTAAAAGCTGGGAACTATTAAAAACAAGTTAGACATATAACATGACATACTGTACACTGTGTGCACAATTATTAGGCAAGTTGTATTTTTTAGCATTAATTTTGTTATTGCACAACTACAGTGCTCTTGGTCAATCCAAAATGTTAACAAACCCTCAAACCTGAACATTTAAGTAGTAAAAGTGAAGTTTTGGCTTTCTTAAAAGAATATCTACATGTACATCATTATTAGGCAACTATTAGTGTGCAGAATTATCATGCAACTAAATAAAAAACAAAGATTTTCCCATCTCACTTATTTATTTCCACCTGTTAAAGTGAGAATAATAAAACTCATAATTTACAAATAAACAGTTCTGAAATTCCAAACAGAAAACCTCAGTGACCAATATAGCCACCCTTCTTTTCGACAAGTCACAAGCCTTCCATTCACAGAGTCAGTCAGTTTTTTGATCTGGTCAGAATCAACTTTTTGTGCAGCCGCAACCACAGCCTCCCAGAGACTGTTCAGAGAGGTGTACTGTTTACCTTCACTGTAAATTTCCTGCTTAAGAAGGGCCCAAAGGTTCTCAATAGGATTTAAGTCAGGTGAAGAAGGGGGCCATGTCATTAGTTTTTCATCTTTAAGGCCTTTACTGGCCAGCCACGCAGTGGAGTACTTTGATGCATGTGATGGAGCGTTGTCTTGCATAAAAATCAAAGTCTTCTTGAAAGATGCAGACTTTTTCCTGTACCACTGCTTGAAGAAAGTGTCTTCTAAAAATTGGCAGTAGGTCTGAGAGTTGATTTTGAGTCCATTTTCAACCCGAAAAGGTCCAACTAGCTCATCTTTAATAAT